TTTTTTTTTTTTTTTTTTTTTTTTTTTTTTTGTACCCTACCAGCAAGGCAGAACGAATTCCACGCAAAGCAACAACTACCACTCTCATCCCACGCTCCCACTAGTATTGTAATGTCTTGTATCGGACCGAATCATATCACAAGGGATGTTTTTTACGTTGTTGTTGTTTTTTTCCTCCTGACATAAGTCGACGCCCACTCCCCAATCATGGTTCCTCCACGAACAATCGAAATACAAACCTAAGTTCCAATCCCGAAGATGAGTGGGTCATCCTCACGTACAGTCATGATAACCCTGCGCGGTCAATATCGATCGCGCGATATGGATGATCGTCTTGTTGAAATTAACTGCGCCATGCTAATCTTGAGTAAGGTTGCTCCAGGAAAAGGAGCTAGCTTGGTGGGGTGATGGCGGACTCGATCCTCATGCCTGCGGGGTATATTTACCTACCGGGTTAACTCTTACTTCGGTTGAAGTGGGAGCAACTCCTCTATATGAGGAGCTTCGCCCTAACAACTTGTCGAACTACGGTCCAACAAGCCTCACCCGCTCTAACTTGGCGCCCATGGCTCTTGGACCGAACACGCCGGTCAGACCGACAGGCTTGTAGACCGGTCCTTCGTCGAGTAGGTGCAAAATTAAATCCTGCCGAGCAAAAATTATTGGGCCCAACCATAAATCTCGTCCAACTTAGTCAATTGCGGTGTTGCTAAGACCACATTTGACCGCTTAAACCCTGAATCATGTGGCTATCACTAGTTTAAATAGAATGGGTTTTAAATTTAACATTCCAACGTCTACGTATTTTCAATGACTCTGAGGGAAGTGGAATTCAATTGGTCATACACCGGTTACCGATACCATTTTCTCAGGCACTGCAACTGTTCAGTTTTTAGCAAGAAGTTTTAGCACCTCGTTTATAGGTTTGGTCTTGAATAGCTGTTTGGCAGACGCTCCAACCCCATTAAGTTACTAAATCCACTAAATGATAAGACATTATCCGATATTTAACATCCCAAGAAAATAACTTTGTAAGGTTTTTTGCTCTGACACTGGAACTGTCACGACTGTAGTTCAATCAAGTTTTTTTAGCCTTTGCTATATAAACAGTCATTTTTTATTTTTCGTTCTTCTGTTAATCTTCTCACGGCCGATTTACTTTATTTGTTCATAGTTTTCACCACTAAAATTTTCATGCATCTCATACACATGCAAACATCGATAATAGGATAAATGTTTTTATCCTACTATGCTCATCTATGTCGACGAGAATATTTCATCCTTAGGATCCCTTCAAATGATACAAAATGACCCACAAATTGGGTCTCATAAAGATATGACTTAACCTAAAGAAAATAAACACACACGACGAGCAGCCTAAGTGGGTCCACATCTCACCATGTTTTCATAAACCAATGAGATGATTTGTCAATAAACAGTAGGTAGCCCATTTGAGTACATCGTACCATATTGGGTGGGATGTTACCCATGAGACTGTGCGGTTTAGTAGGTAGCCCATCTCAATCCACATCCTACCTCCCCTTACTATCTTAGAAGTTAATGTTTGTTCAAGTATAGTGAGCAGACTACTATGAAACTCACATCTCAACTTCCTTAGTTTGCAAGTAAACAAATTTTCAGAGTTTGCGGTTGAATACTGAAAGAAAAGGATAGTCGAGTTAGAATCTGATAGGAAAATTCGAATGTCGAAAAATCAAGCTCAAAAGGGAAGTCACTCTCTGAGAACCAACATATCGATAGGATTCGAAAGAAAAATGTAATCGTGAAGAAGTTATGATCTTTGTCAAAATGCGAAAAAGCGTGAATGAGAGAAAAAGGAAGGTTAATCATAGTGGGTAGGTTCCTCCGTAGACTTATATCCACTGCGTTTTTTGGAATTCGCATATCCAACGAAAGATTGTACTCACTCCGAGTTAGTTATTTTAAAGGGTTTTAGTCTTTCCTACGATGATGTCCGAAAGGGATTAATCATATTGCATTCCCTATCGAGGATTAAGAAAATTCAGAGGCGATGCGGATGACCTATTATAGTTTGTATGCGTTATACAGTACGCAACTCATATGAGTTTACATCCTGCTATCATGATAATCATGCGCTTATTATGAGAAAGAAACGAGCAAAAATGTTTTGTTTACACAGGTCGAAAAAACCAAGCAGCTCATCTAAGTCCACACCCCGTTGTCAAGTGAAACAGAAAATTCGAATGCGAGCGACGAGACAACCCATCTAAGTCACATGCTCATCGCTTTGTAGTTAGTTGGGCGTACAAAAGTAAGATGGACAAAATTTGTCCCTGCCTTCACCTGACTAACCTACCACCGGTAGGCCACTCTCGGCCTACACACCAGTCTACAAGCCACTGGTTGGAATTCACCCACCAACTCACTACTCGCCTCCTGCGGCTAAAATATAGAACCGAGTGTCCTGGTCCATCGAGGAGGCTGCTCTCTGGCACTCTGGCACTCTCATCTCATTTGACCGCCTCTATCTCACTCCCGGAAACACTCTCACAATGGGTGTTTTTTTCTTTCCCCCCCCACGCCCTATTTTGAAGTTAATTCCATTCCAGCCACCACTTTGTGGCCCCCTTCAAACCCATCCCGCAAAATGCACTCTCTCCCTAGCTTCTTTTCACGTCTTACTTTCGCAACGCAGGTCTTTGTTTCCAAACAAATCACTACCTTACCCTCCCCCAACAACATCAATATACAAACATCGGGCTGCGCACCTGTGCCATTTTCCCGTCTGCCTCGACCACAATGGCCGAGGTGTGCTGTTACGGACCACCTCACGACCCCTGCCGTCTCGGCTGCGGATACCCCGCTCATCGGTCGTTCCCTCCGAGACCGATGACAATGAAACGGAAGAAGCCCTACGGGGCTGGGTGCCACTTACACGAATTAAGCGATATTGATCGTAGAGCAAAGATCAACGGCCAGAATCTCTTAATCCGTGCAAGTGGGACCTTGCCCCGGGCTGTACTCGGAATCGGTATTGGAATTGGAATTGGAATTGGATGCACGTCATGGACCTGCGATAGTAGGCCCTCCTGTCATTAATCGACAGGTCTGAAAAAAAATGGAAACGAAGCTGACGAGCTTGGGACCGACTGCGGAGCGAATTGGGACCTGGAACGCCCTCCTTTTTCCCGGTCAATGGAACGGAAGAGCAGGGTCCGTTCCGGGGAAAACGGAGCACAGGTAACCGGCTTCCTCAGGAAAGACGATCTTCTCAAGTTGCAGGTGGGGCGTGCATCATGTCTATGCCCACGGTCAAGAGTGGCAACTGGTCTTGGTACTCCATCTGTCCCACCCTCAGTTTCACATGCTCCCTCCCTCGGGCCGTACTCAAGGCATTGGAAGTCAGCTGCTTGGCTGAGGCTTAAAACTCATGGGCGATGTGATCGTCCGATCGATCAACGACGGTATTACTAAGAAGCAAAAGAGTGCGCACTGAACACTGATGTTGTACGGCGAAGTAACACAGTGATAAGCATCAATTGAGAGAGAGAGAGAGGTCCCCATGAGCAGCAGAGTGCAACCCGGGCCACATACATGCGCGTGTGTGTGTGTGTGTGTGTGTGTGTGTGTGTGTGAGAGAGAGAGAGAGAGAGAGAGAG